AGGTGCACCAAATGCGTATGCGCGACACAAATCTTATTTGATATGTATGAGGGCTGTGATACTGCCCGGGTGCCCAAACCGAAGTAGGTGGTTTTCTTGGGGGGCCACACCCTGAGCCTTGGATCTAAAGGTCTGATCCACAAGGCAGTGGAGCAACGTAAAGCGATGCATTCCCATGGTAGCCGGTGACCAACGATTAGTTCATAGGCCCTTTGTTTATTTGAGGATACTGGAGACCATGTGCACCATTGGTTTGGAATCAGAGTTTTCGAACTCCCCTAGGTGGACTCTCGATGTCCACCAACCCGGTTAAAGCGCCGGATATTCTCTTTTCGTTCTCTCAATTTCGTAAACGACACCTCCACGAGAAAGCAATGAGTAGGACTTCCTTGGCAGAGGCTATACACGCGTGGCCATGTGAGAGCCTTTCGAGATGAAAAGTTTACTCACCTTACTCTCGTCCGTACCTGAGCATTTGGAGGCTTATTTATTGATATGCTTGTACACTAAGCTAACATTTCACAGCTTAAAATTTAATACGATCAGTGAATAAAGCTTAGTTTCTTAATGGAAACCCTGTTATTGATTTCTATAGTACAATTGAAAATACATTGATATTAATCGGTTATTACATCAGTTACAGTAATTAGAAAGTATGAGTTGAGTGATTTTCTCTCAACACAGTCATAGTCAGAATGCATTGAAAATTCATGAAGTTATATCACGAAAATTTATTGAAAGTTGATCTTATATTTTCACCTTAAATTCTTCTTAATTAAACATTAATTTCCTTTCTCTAACGTCTGAAAAGTTTCAAATGCAACAATGAAAGTCCTATTCAGTTAGTGGTGGTTAATTACAGTTCACCATTCAGTTGATGTACAGCTACAATTAAAAATATTTTATTTTATTTATTTTCTAACCAACATTCCCTAACTACCTAGCCTCAATGTTATTGTTTATTGTAACCTTAACTGTGGATTAAATGTATGGAATTTCATTTATTTTTCAACATGTGTTCGAATAGATATGTTTCCTATAGGTTTTTAAATATACTTTATTGGCGATCAGCAACTAGGAAGAAAATCCGAGTTTAAGATTTCCTGTTGATTGCCTTTAGCCACTTAACAATCAAACAAAATATCGAAATCACTGAGTTTGCATACATTCGGCTGAATTTCAGCGTTCACACTATTATCAACTGTTTGCTTTGTTTATTTCTTCAGTGTGATAGTTATATCACATTCAAATCATTATTTAAATAATATATAAGTAAAATAAAGTATATTCAAATGTTCATACCGAAATATATGTGCAGTGAGATTGGCGAACACATTAGTTTGAGTTGAATTAACATCCTTTTAAAGAATGTAACGAGTCGTTTCGATTCTCGTAGTTTAATAGTTGAAGTCATGAGTCAGTTGAAACCAGACCACCATGGAAAACCTGCAAGCATCATTGTCTTCAGTGAGTTGCTATCTCACAACAGACTTGGTTGAACTCTACTGGTCACGGCTTCTCACTAGAACTCCAGGAAATACTTCTTGAAGATCGTCACTAGTGAGCATATGGTGATTATAATCAGAGAGAGGTTTTGTGGATATTATAATAATTTAATAGTTTAATTCACGAGTCAATTGAAGCTAGACCAACATGGAAAACCTGGAAGCACTGGACGGCCGTTTCATCCTAGTATGAAACTCCTCAACAATCCATTTAAACAAATATGATGAAATGAGTCTATGTACTGTTTTCAAAGTCTTTGTTTTCCTCGTGTTGAAAAATAAAAAAATCTTATTTGGATAGAAGTTCATAGCTAATAAATCTATCGTAAAATCCAAGGTTTCAAATTAATATTTATATTACTAACGAATAAAGTAATATCGTATTGAATAGGAGTATTAAGCATGTGCAATACTTCTTTCTTTGATTATCTCCACCCAAATATTTGGTCATGATACTTGAGTATTGATATTTTCTCTTTGTGAAGATATTAGACTACTAAATTGCTTGTTCTCCCAATGCTTTCTTCTCAACTGTTTTTTGTTAAGGTCGTCAGATATTTCCTAGTAGCATCGCTTGTTCTCGTCCAGGAATCCGTGTGAAAAGCGCCTCTGAATCGGAGCATTTACTAGTTATTAGTAAATCTCTGTCCAATGTGAGTGATTTTCTATAAGTCTCATTATTATTATTATTACCATACTAGTAGTGGTAGAAGTGTGATTACATGTAACTTGTTAACTTAGAGAAGGAGAATACGGGGATATTGCAAGTGACATATATCAAAGCTCTATATACAAACAGTAGATCACTTAATCAGATATTCGTAGGTTGTTTTTGTCACAGCCACTGAAAACCTTGAGCCATTTTGTCCCGGTATGGAACTTATCCTCTACAATCATATCATGATCGAACCTAAGACCTTTAGGTCTCGCGTCAAACTGTTGATCATCGGAACCATTAGGTCCACCTCCAGTGGTACGATTGTTTGCCACGAAATCTGAAGGCCCTAAGTCTGATATATGTCTTTGATTAATGTAATGAGAAAAGGATGTTTATCAAATTTGTTTCATACACTTATACCATACAACATTTTAAACAATTTGTGCACATAATAATTTGTTGACAGTTTACTTTGGAAACAAAAAGTTACAGTCACACGAGATATAAATTGCAATTACACAATAAGAGTTAATTATAAAAACTACCTATCTGTTACTAAACATATAACTTGACTGATGAATCTCAGGATTAATCAAACTTCAGCTTTTGTAATGTGTTATGTAGAATTGGTTTAGGATAAACAAGGCTTTTTGAAGCCTAGACCGTACGAAGATTCAAATACCTTTTGTATATGTGTGTTCAGAAACCAATTATTATTTGCATTAGAACTACCCATGTGATATTGATTTTCTATAGAACGTTTTACGTCTCCTACAGATATCTTGGCAAATTATCCAGGTTATTTAAAATGTAATATGTCTGTGTATTACACATCTCTTAGTAACTTCGTCAACCCATTGCACTATCGAAATTAATCAAAGGAACTAATTATTTTAACTTTGACATATATATTTCAATTTTTTTAAAATATAAATACATTACCCAGTTAAGTAGTTAGTAAATCACTATTCCTCTTATTTTGAAGTGTAACAGGTTAGTAATTTGTTTGGCAGTGATTGACTATAAATGACCTCGATTTCTCGGACCTTGATATTCTTATCTTCTTATAACATGATGAACTGATAAAGTTAAAAGCTTTAATTTATCATATGTATATAGATAAAAATAAAAAAACTATTCATTTAGATCTTAAGAAGCTTTTGTCAATAAGTAGGCATTCAGAATAGTAAAGAACATTACTAATAATAGATTGGGGTTTATTTACGAAATCTTATCAAAGACTAACTGGAAAGCATTGTTCATAATTGTGGTGATCCGTTGATGAATTGATAAGTAGCTGCTGAAACTGTTTAGTAATTTATTTGCATTTGATTATCTGAAGTAGGATAGACAAGGCAACAGGAAATAATTGAATTCAATTAGTCAAGTAAGCCGATGAATTGATTTTCCTTTCCATAATACTGGTTTTTCTATAATAATTAAGTTTTAAACGAATGATTTTTATCCTATTAAATATAGTCAAAAGAGGAATTATCCCCTTCATCCTTTGGCCATTTTGGTAAGTTTTATAAATTCGTATTTCACTTGATTATTATGCGAAACATGATATCGTAAACCTGCTTCAGTTTGGGTACCTGGGCAGTATCCCAGCCCTCACATAAATCAAATGATTTATGTGGCGCATATCAATTTGGTGCCTCGTTGTTCCGTTGTGTATTTGTTTAAATGAATAAATAAAGATCGTGTATAAACTACTTGTAAAACTTTACCACCATTCTTGTAGAGATTTAGTGTTAAAAAACAATTGGGCGGGTTTATTGTCATAACGAAATAAAATTGTATATTTGAGGATTGCGATCGGTCACGTTGATTGAGACGACTATTAGTTGTTCATTCAAAGATCCCTAATAAACAGATTTTAAAGATGAAAATAACAACAAATAGCATTATTTTATTTACTTAAGGATTAGAGAAATATGACATTGGTCGCTACTGAGTGGTCGCCTAATCGTGTTGTTTTGAGATCGCTGATCACCAATTTGTTGTGACTTAAGACACTAATCGATATCACTTGTTGTATTGTCTAATCAGAATTTCGATTATTGATTGGTCACCTGTATTGCTAGTTGGACCATTGTTCTTTTATTCATTAATTAACACCCAAGCTTTTAACACTTATTGATCCTGAAGCTCCTTCTAACCTAGCAGAGTAGCTAATCAGTAGACGCAGATAGGAAACAGACTAGGTCCTCATTGCACTTAATTTAACTGTAAGTCGAAACTCATATAGTAAATGACTGACCACAAAGTTTCCCAAATTAGAAATTATACTTTAACAACAATCATACTGTAAATGTTAGAGGGCGGAGCAAACTGTTCATAATTAATTAACTAATAACTAATATAAAGCAATACTCAATAGGTTTACTAGAAGCTTACACTAACGGGAATACAGAAATGCAGCAATACAGTTTGTTTACTAAGTACACAAAAATGAAAATAATAAAATTTGAAAATATACGACCCGTTATAACAAATTGTTTTTACTAAAATGATGTGACACAAAAGTTATCTTGCTAAATTAATATAATTTGAAACACAAATGTTTTTGAAATATGCGTCCTAAAGATCATAAACTTATGAAGTTGAAACTCAACTATGGGGTTGGACGAAAGCTAAGTGTATTAAGACGAAGATGTGATGTTGTTGTGAAAGAGAACACAGGTGAGGACGACCAATTTATTTCTTAACACAAAATTACAGGGTTCTTTGGTAATTTATGAAAATCATGCATAAAAATACTTCATTTGCAAATTTCCATCATTTGTACTTTACATTATGTATGATTCCTCCAATTCACAATTGCTTTCTATTTTCTTTTCTGTTCTCTTCTTATCCATCTGCTACCGGATTTTCCACTTCCTATTGGTTTACATACTACTTAAGTGTGTCGACATAAGTAGCATAAACCACTGTGTTAATCCATTAAGTCACTGACCGTTGGTCTAAACCCCTCTGATAGATGCAGACTGAGACTGAGTAATATGGTTTAGAGTCGTTCACAATGTCGCAGATTAGTTTACTCTTTATCTTTCTCTCGATCTTGAATTCCACCATTCATTCATACATAACTTTCTACTTCGTCGTTTTCGAGCATACTCTGGATATTCACTCTTTTTCATCAACGTTGCTACATTACTTTGACTCCTTTACTGTTCATCACGTTATCTAATGTGATATAAAAAGTTGGGCCCAACACATTTGTGCAAATCTCCACGTTGATAATGTCTGGTTACCCTATTGACTTAATTATCGCCCACCATCTCAATTTCGCTTTATTTTACCATTGTCTATTTATATTCAGCTTTCTTAATCAACTTTTGTTTGTATGTCGGATTTCGTTAATGAGTGTATCATTTGAAAATATTGTCTTTACTTATTTCATTCTAGTTTAAATATGTTTTTTGGATCACCCGTTTTTATCTACTAGGTTATTTGGAAAGCTATAACACTTTTTGACAACTTCCGTATGGTTTAACACCACATCTACACTGTCACATTAAACGTGTGACTATATGGAGAATTTTTCTGTCTGTATGTAAATATGAAAACTTGTTATTAGTTTCAAAGTACATTGCGAAAATGCATGTTAATATGCTGAATTTGCATCGTAGTATATATGATATCGTTTGTAAAAAAATGTTTTATTTTCAGATGAAAACCACGTTTATACCACGTTATTTCGTCATAGTACATGTTACGATGTTTTACCGGGGAGTGGAAAGTTAGTTATTTTAGACTCTCGTTTACCTGTAAGTTATTTACTGTATATACTTTTTTTTTTATAACAATACACGGATGGTCATTTTTGTATGGGTATGTGTGTGTTAATATACTTGTGTTTACATAATTTGTAAAACTCATTTCCTAATCATTTTTTTGTGTATACACAGTAAAGATTGGAACTTCCAATATATTTTTCCATATATATGGATGTAATAGCAACTTTCAACAATTAGCTCGAAGATTCTCACCTTATTTACTGAATTTAAGTTCAAACAGCTGTGTACTATCACAAAATGCCTGACTTAAAATATTATACATAATCCTGTGGTGAAATAAAATTCCTGTGGAAAATGATTCAATTGTAGATTACTATAGTCTATAAAAGTGTCTTCGTAGCATACGTTTTCACAGAAAAGGATGCATTACAACAGTTATTCTTTTTCAATATCTTTGAGACGTTGACTTTTCCTCACATTTTGAACTTAAGAAACCGATTTTATGTATCTTTGAAATTTAATCAGGCATCTATCAGCTATTCATATTTCTCATACCGAAACTCTCTTTCTTTGAATAGTTTGTGAATATACCACCAACGTATTCCTCGTTTGTCCGGTTTCAGTATTTAGACTGAATGATGTTTGACTTTAGACGTATTTGTGCACCTAAAAATGGCATCCAACTTTGCAGAATTCAAGATCTTAGGTCCATCAAGGTAGTGACAATCAATTTGGGCTGTTTTAAAAGGAGCATAGTTTCTGATACTATGCAATCGGAATAATGGTACTCATTTGTGAGGACCTTCAGGTGATAAGACTGGAAATCAATCACTGTGATTCGAAAATCATTCTACTAGGCTTCTTACATGCTATTATTCCCAATTTTATGTTTTCAATGAAAATTTATACAATATTTCATTTTTCACCATTATTTGTGTTATTATTTCCTGCTTTTTGCTTTCCATATATTGATCCTCATCTCTTTAAGTTGATGTTAATTGTAACGATTCAAATGGTATTACACAAATGCTAGGTTCTGGGTGCTTCGTATATGTTACTTTGCTTTTCTGTGATCCTATACAAAGTGATCTAAAATTATGTTCTAGTTTTTTTAAATAATTAAAATGTTTATTATCAACTATTCAATTACTAGACGTTACGTGCAATATGTGCTCTATTGGATAATGGAGTTATGGCGGCACCAGTTTGGTGCAGTGAAACTCAATCATATATGGGTATTTTTTCTCAAGAATTAGCTTTAGATATGATTGGACATTTACACTATACAGAAGTGATTAGAAGTGGTAATTCAGATATTCAAACATTGTCGTCTTCAAGTGTTGCTGACACCACAACAAATTCCTCATCATCTGGATTCTTTTCATCGTTCAATGCAAATCTTTACGGATGGGGTGCAAAACAATTAGGGGAGGTTTATAGTGAGTTTTTCGCGTCGAATTGAACATATTTATTATATGAAACATCGTCATACATACATCTTCACTGATTTATCAAACTAACATTTGGCTAAAAGTTTATTTACAGAACTTGACTAGTTGACAATTTTTAAGTTTAATCATGTTTACTCTGATCGGTTCTATTGATTCACAACTTTCAAAAGCTGTAAAGCTGGATTATAGCTGTGCAATCCAAGACTTTATTTTCAACCTATTTGTTGGGACTCGTTAGCTGAATCTTTTCATTCATTTCGAACTGCAATTGATCACTCTGTATTGGTACATTTACATTCTGAGTAGATATCCTTGATATTACAGTCCTTAATATCAATAACGAAGAAAATACTAATCCTTTCAAAATATATTGGTTGTATTTTATTTTTGCAAAATGTTTGATATTGAATGCGAACATACATATAGCAATTCAATTTAATTGTAGTTCTCCAATGAGTTATCAAACTAGTATTAGTTTAGTGCCCTATCATGTGAAAGTTATGCCCTAAAGCACATTTTAAGCTTAGTGAAGAATCGACTAATGTCATGTATATTTCTATCCTCATTATCGGTGTGTCAACTTATGACACATGTGAGAATGCATTGTGCTTCTAACTTTTTTTACAATTCATAGAGATTTTCATACTCGTTATCCTGATGCTCGATTTTGATGACATGAACAATCATTTTCATGCTCTGAAAAGATCTCTACGTATTCTGTATATTATTCAATGGAATCTCTGTTGAAATTGCTCATTTATAATAACAAGAACTATGCTATTTGGGATTATAATAAAATATTAAAAAAACTCATTGTTTCAGTGTCATGATATATGAAATTCGGTATTTCTATATCTCCTTGTAATAAACAACTGGCTAGAAACAAAATTAGGATTCATTCATTATTAGTCGATTGGTCTTACTCATATCTAATGGTTACATGTACTGTGTTACTCCACTAACCATTTTAAATTTTCATTATTTTGTATTTCGGTATCAATTAAATTTTTATCATATTCGTAAGTTTTTTGTTAAACATTTGACAACTATTAATGTTTCTGGTTGATTCACTTTTAGATTTCATGTATAGTCGTCCTGATCGTCAGCTTTTTTCAGATCTGTTTGTATATCCTCATTACTGTTTACAAAAGGCACTTTATCGACTATTTCATCATAATCATCATTATCCTGAACAACATCGTCCATATCACCAGAGTCAACATCCACACCATCAAGATAGTCTTTCTAATCATGATACTTTACTCAAATCCAAATTTTCCAACACTCGTGGTCATCGTTGTTCATATCCTAATAACTCTACAAAAATGCCAATGAATGATAATCCAAATAATAAATTCAGCCAGCAGTCTCCCAATGTACTTCCAAGTCAGTCCAGTCATTCATCATCAAGACTGAGTTTTTCCGAAGATAATGGTACAGTATCCCTTTCGTATTCTCCACTACTCGGTTCACGATCACCTAGTTACCAAACATCTAACTCCAACAAATTAGATGATACAACGTCAGCTATTACATCAGAGGATTTCGAAAGAGTATCGTCTAAATGTTGTCCTCTTTCTAATCCAACCTCACTATACACATCACTTGTATCTTATCTAATTGTAATTGATAATCATAGCGGAAATGCGCTTGGTCTGTTATGCGCTGATCGTTTACTGGCATATTTACGTCTACGTGTAGATGAATTGCCGAATACAGGTCGGATGAATGTAAGTTTCTTCTAGAAGTATCAGTATTTCTTGTGTATAAAAGATTATGGTTTTTGTGTTTTCATGTCGTGATTTTTATATTGTTGGTGAGTAATCAGATCCGTCAAGTCCATTAGAATGGTACATAACATCATCACTGTGTTCTGCGCGAATTTCGTACTATGTGCATGTACTCTGCGCAGTAATCAATATAGTTGCGTGATGATGTGGGCAAGTGGTTAAGGTCCTTGATTTTCAACCGTTGTGTTACAGGTTAGGACTGGTCATCACTTATTTTGGCTTGGATAGTCTGTTAGTATCACTACCCCTTTTACAAATGAAGTGTCTTAAAAACTGAGTACAGAAACCTGTTTCTAGTAACTGAGTTATGTCAACAAGTATTGATGGTCCTCAAATGTACTATTTCATCTAATGAATGTTTCGAATAAATTTAGATTGGACTTAATTAACGAAATCCTACTTAATCTGTTTATGAAATCAACTTAAACTGCTTAAGTTGATCAATAAAAAAATCCTGATCAAAATAGTTTTCGCTCTTGTTACTTATTGACAAGAACTATCTTGAACAAATACTTACCACCTTAGAGGTTGTATCCAGAATTGTTCAGCACTATCTTTAAAAGACATTATCTCATATATTTCACTCGTGACCGTAAAATCATTTGTTTATTTATGAATTTTGGCTAGTTCAATAAAGTCATTTTGTCGGTGACCACCACCGACTACAAGTTGATTTGTAAATGCATCTATACACGCATAAATACTCTATTGTGTAGAATCAACGATGCTAGTTATAAATTATTCATAATATTTAACCACTGACGCAATCCAACGTAAGAGCAGTAGTACAACAAAAAAATTTATTTTTAAATCTTCATATTTTTAACCCATATTAAGGTTAATTTAATCAGAAATGGATAATTGGTAGCAGTGGAATGCAGGACGCGTGTCTTGTCATATTTTGGACTCGTCATCTTACATGGCACTATTATGACAATCGCACTGTATGCACATGTACCAAAAGAGATTGATCAATTTCTTTTGTAGACATTAATGAGATTATTATTATTATTTGAACACATTAATACAAGAGAGCACCGTATACATATGCACCACACAGTTATCATTGATATGTGTGAGGGCTGTGATACTGACCGGACATCCAAACCGAAACAGGTGGTTTTCTTATGGGGTTACACCTGGAGCCTTTGACCTAAAGGTCTAATCCACAAGGTGGTAGAGCAACGTTAAAAGATGTAGTCTCGTAGTAGCTGATGACCAACAATCGGTTTATACGCCATTTGTTTCCTTAGGACCCTGCAGCCCATGTGCACCATTGGTTAGGAATTAGGGTTCCCCAACTGCCCTAGGTCGATCCCTTATATCCACCAACTGGGTTGAAACACCGGAAATTCGCTTTTCGTTCTCTCAATTTCGTAAACAACACCCCCGCCATGAGATGGCAGTGAATAGAACTTCCTTGGCAGTGGCTGTATACGCGTGGCCATGTGATAGCATTTGGAAGGAAATTCATTTTTTTTATAATGAGTTTATAATCAAAAATAATGTACGGTTAAATCATTTCACTCATGCTTATCCAACCTTCATTTATCTCATCAACAACTTTGTTTTAGGTGTTCAGTTCGAAGTAATCTAGAAATTACATCGTTTTCAAAATTTTCCACTCTATTATTATTATTATTATTATTATTATTATTATTATTATTATTATTATTATTATTATTATTTGGTGTTTATAGATGATAGAGAAGCTCAACCTGCTACAACTTATCATGAAATGTTATGTTATGATCTTATTAGTTAGACACTAATATAATGCTAGATACGTTGGTAAGGACAAGATCTAAATAAGTTATGTATTATCAAAGATATATGATGAGATATTCAATTGATTTTTGAGTAATAAGATCTCTGCTAGAAGAGAGTTTACATGATCTTGTTACATGAAATTATTAAAGTCTTCATCTCATATGTGGTGTATGTATAGTTTACGACATTCTGGTTACAAATGAACTATAAGTTTCGGTAAAAAACTAACATAATGATTAATTTCACATGTATCCAAAGAGACATGTTTATGGGCACACATCAAGAGAGAAGTACATGGATGATAGTTTTTGATATTTTGTTATTTATACGAGTATTTGACAAATATCTTCTTATTCGAATGTAGAAAGTCATGTAGGGAAAGCAATAAGATCAATGTATTTTCCAACACAAACAGAAACTTTGGATTAATTTATAGAGATGTAGAGCTTAAGCGGATTTCAAACCTTCTGTCTAACAGTTAAAAGGTGAATGTCTTAACTAGTAAGCTACAGTGCAGATTAGATACACGAAGTGGTCTACGAGACAAAAGAGTACTGTCGCATAGGTCCTGTCATACCTAGCTTTTGAAGACTTCAATATGAGCTCTGATCAGACTCATCAACGACATGTGTGTAAACGCGCGAAGTACGCTGAACTGAAATGTAAAAATTTCATAAATTTGTTTAATCTTACTCATTATTTTGTAGGTTCCAATCGATTCTATTCATGGTCTTCGTTGGACTGAACGGCACACATCAAAGAAACCAACAGTTACTAAAGTAAGTTCAACATACTCTTTATCATCACAGCAGACTACAGAAGAATGTTTACAATTTAGAGAAAATCCTGTTTTACACCCAAATGATCGAGTTCGTGATGCTTTGCATGTGCTAACTAGTTGGTTACCACAGTTACCATGTCTTCCGGTTGTACATTATCTGGATGATAATCAGTCCCAGTCGATTGATCAGATTAGTTTTATTTCGCCTGGTGATCTTTTGGTAAGTAATTTAATTGTGCATGTGTATTTTACTTATTAATAAAAGCAGTTTGTAAAATTTAATGTAGGTAGATATGCAGACATATTGTCATAATACAGCAGTCATCCATCAGGATCATACTATTTCTTCTATAAGTAGCTGAATAAATATTGACTCAACGTGACGCAAGTTTAAGCATAACGTGTTTAATAACTCAGTCCTCATATCTAAAGTTTGTTATAACTTGTACCCCATGTCCTACTAATGCATAACCAAATGAACAGTGAATTATCAACTGGACCAATGACACAAAACTTGTACGAGCAGTCTAGAGTTCATCTTGGTCCTGCTTCCCACCTAGCCTTGCCTGTTAAGTCCAGAACACTAATCTCAGTCTCTGCGATATGAATCGTGCATTTCAAACATACTAGGTTTATATACCAACCAAACAGACCACATCGTATCATAAAATAGGAAACAACGTTTGTACAAGATTTAGCCAAATGTGGCTGTGAATGTGGGAGATAGTACTTGATGGATTGGGCATAACTCATGAATGGTAAATCGTATAATAACGGTTCATAGGTCAAAATAAAGCTTATGATAGTAGGAACATTAATATACATAGCTTAGCTGCTTACTAATTATACGATAAAAATATATGTATAGTATTAGTTCAGATATAGATTCCAACAGTTACTATTCATTATTCTTATCGGGATATAACAAGGTTGTTGTATTGTATATTAAGTTTCGACTTAAAGGGCATTTTCGCATGTTATTTTTTACATATCATAGAAACCTGATTTTGCACGTGTTTTACAAACTAAGTGTTAACATACCTGTGATATTCCTATTGATCTCTAGTTGAGGTTCTTCTTATTTCAGATAGCAAGACTGATGTGATAATTATTACGTAGTAAACATCAAAGTGTAAATCATTTTTTCATAAGAATATGTTTCAGTTTACGTAGTTCCTTTGTTCGAATTATTGCTTACTTTAGATGCTGTCTGTTTTTTCTCTATCGTTCCGAGTAAAAAATCACTGTATTGAATTCTTAGAGAATCTAGCTGTTACGTACTAGTTAAGGCATTCTCCTTTCACCCAATAAGTCTCTGGTTCTAACCTAACTCCCCCCTTTATTTATTCATTATTTGTTTACTTAAACACATAAATATTGGTGCATGGAGGCACCAAATAGATATGCTCCACACATCATCATCATCCGATTTGTGTGAGGTCTGGGATGCTGCCAGGGTGCCCAAACTAAAACAAATGGTTTCCTTGGAGGGTCATACCTAGAGCTTTTGATCTAAAAATCTAATCCACAAGGCGGTGGAACGACGTTGAGAGACATAGTCCCATGGTAGCCAGTGACCAACAATCGGTTCATACACCGTTTGTTTTCTTAGGACCCTGTAGCTCATGTGCATCATTGGTTTGAAATGAGGGTTTTCAAACTCCTAAGTGGATCCTCCATATCTACAGACCCGGTTAAAGCATTTTGAGAGGGAAAGTGTTCTCGCCCTGCTCTCGATCGTACTGGGGCATTCGGGAGCAGGATTCTTGCAAATAAAGGGTGCCGTGAGGCTAAATACGGAAATCTGTACTTAATAAATGAGTTTCACCAGATATCAAGAAAGGTGTTTCATTTTCTAAAGTTTTTCGAAAGTACGGAATATTTTTGCTAACTGAATTGTAACTCTTGAATAACCTGCATTGTGTGGCTATTGTCCATATGTACAATTTTTAGTACTAAGCAAACTTTGTAACTCAATAGCTGAGTTACATTTGTTTGGTTTAAGCAGTTAATCTATTAATTTTTTTATATTGTGTACTTATTAATCAACGTTTAGTTTAATACAGCTTCCTTTATTGTATCAGGCTATATTAGTTTTTTTTCGTAGGTTAAGTAGCAGAATGGAGTTTTTCAAAGCAATATGGGTAGAAGCACATCAATGATTTTGAAAAGACAATACATTTCTTTTCAAATATATTCACAATACTTATTGTATAATTAATTAATTAATTAATTAATTAATCAATCGATAGGATTCGATCAACACTGAGGACTGGGCAAACATAACATTGGCTACTCAGGGTAAATATGACCGTCCTACATATAAGTCTCAGTCCGAATTACTTACGCCTGTTTACCCCTCATGGAGGAGCCTAGGCCACCCACCAGCAATATCCATTTATCTCTGTCTTGGGCAATTCTTTCCAATTATCATTCATCGTTTCCCTGTCTGCTTCCAATTCCGGACTCAGTGTATTCTTCGACCTTCTTCTTTACCGTCTCCTTTCCGGATTTCAAGTTAGCACTTAGTTCGTGATGCAGTTTGATGATTACCTCAATGTGTCTTCCTAATTTCCTCTTCAGCTGGATGCTGGTTTGTCCTCTCCCACAGTAGGTTGTTGCTGATGGTATCCGGTCAACGGCTATTGAGTATCTTGTGTAGACAATTGTTTATAAATACTTGTAGACTTTTTATAATGGTTGTGGTAGTTCTCCACGTTTCAGCTCCGTAGAGTGGAACTAACTGTCTTGACTTTGATATTGGTCGACAATTTTTTCGAGTTTCATATGTTCTTCAACTGTAGGAGTACTGCTTTTGCTACGTTGCTATTCAGTTCGAATAGCTGAACGTTAATGATTTTAGCTATGACACGGGTTCGAATCTCACAGGATCACGGTAAGAGACGAGGAATATCATTTCCACCAAGATTCCAAATACTAGCAGCTAGGTCTGGAACCTTTAGCTCGCTGCTTCCAGTCAATTCACATCAATATGTTAACCATTTTTACTGGGTCTTTATATATTGAAAAATATAAATACTAGTACATAAGGAAGAAAATCAAATGTTTGAAAAAAAACCTTTCCAACTTTTCTTTGCTCTTCTTTCTCCGTATACAATTCATTAGAATTTCATTATCTGTTCTACTTCGGATACTGTACTCAATGAACCAATTAGTCAAATTATTGAGAAGAAATTCGTAGTAAGTAATTCAATGAAAATGTTTCTTTTATTAAATGAAATTTCTAATCTTATATATATAGCTCTTTTCATTAAATCATTGTTATATACTCAGTTGTTTTTCATTTTGTTACCTGATGGAAAAACTGTTATAGTTAGTAATGCTTGTTGTTAATAAACGTTTGTTTTAATAGTTAGTTTGTATCACTGATAATGATTGATATCTATCTCATTCTGTACTTATCACTACATTCATAATGTATTAAGAAGTTTGAATCAAAGTAATGAACAAGATCCTTTGACATCTTCGGTTATTCAATTTATAATCATGAAAATTGTTCGATCAATCAATTAATCAACGTTTATTTGTATTTATTTTTATCATTTATAATACAAATGCTGCTTCAATTAGGCATTGGAAAAATGCTTCACACAAAAAGAAACATTGTACAATGTTATTAATGAAAAACTAATCTTACAATCGAATAAATAAATAAATGAAATGAATAGGAATAATCTCGTTTTAGTTAGAAATGAAGGCCGCTCGCGGGATCGTGGATGCGCACTGCTGAGGAGTCCCACAATAGGACGAAACGGCCGTCCAGTGCTTCCAGGTTTTCAATTGTGATGGTCTAACATTAATCGGTTCATGATCTCAATCAAAAACTCAATAATCTCCACAACCCCTATACTAGTAATTAACATGTGCTCACTAGTGACTAGCTTCGTGAGGGAATTCTCGGAGTTCTAGTGAGAAGCCGTGATCAGTGGAGCTAATCCTTGTCGGGTAGAGACAGGTATCTACCTCAGTACAAACGAAGTTGGTCGCGCAATTTCGTGGATTGGTTGATGTAAGACACTATCACCATTGGATGCCGGCTCAGTGGTCCAGTTGGTTAAGTGTTCGCGCGCGAGACCGGAGGCCCTGGGTTCGAATCCCGCTCGCGGGATCGTGGATGCGCACTGCTGAGGAGTCCCACAATAGGACGAAACGGCTGTCCAGTGCTTTCAGGTTTTCAATTGTGATGGTCTAACATTAATCGGTTCATGATCTCAATCAAAATTGCTTTTATGTTACATTCCAATGGCTCACTGCGATTATACTGATTATGATTGAAGAATTATATCAACGTTAAGTGAAAAAATGATGATACTTAGTGTTGTGAAGGGACGCTAGAGTTTTAATTTAACTAGTATAAAGTAGAAAAAATCAGTGTGTAATATGTTTTGTTTCTGTTGTACTCTCTAAGCCGATTGGTTTCATTCCTAAGTTTTTGTCGTTGTTGTGGACGATGACATCATCGGTGCCTAATGAGCGTAATAGTCAGTTGTTTAATTTATCCAAAGGCGTTAAATCAGCCTATTCTGATTGATCGAACTCGTCATTTCTACATGAATTTATTGCTGTTATTCAGAGCGTTCGCCTGGGATACAAATTTTCTCCATCATTTCAAGATATGGTACCTCTTGTAACAAGCGATTCTTTGAAGTGGGATGATTTAATTATATTTTTATATCAAATGAAGGTTAAACTATACAAATCGTATTTATGCTTGTGAAAAGATAGACGGCAAATAATCTTTATAGTTTTAAGAACCTTTTTTCATCGATTTACTATTTAACAATTAGTCTTTAAATTCATTAATCTACTTAGTACATACTTGAGAATTTTTATCATAATCTTGTTTCGTATGTTTCATTCCGAATCATGTGGAATTAAATTGTATAGTGTTTTCTGTTGATTTACTTGAAGATGATTTCGATTGTATTTCTCTCTCTCTCTCTCTCTGTGTGTGATCTAATCAGCTGAAAACTAGAGAAATAGAGTTCTCCTTTAATTCATGATTTAGCATAGAGTAAACGATATTTGTCTAACATAGAGACAAAAAGGATTGTTAGACTTAGTACTAATACCGTACAGTGTTTTTTGAAGCATCAAAATATGAATTTTTATGGTTTGTTGATTTACGACTTGGAGGCGATATAAAATCTACCATTTCCGTTAATAATCTGTGCCTAACAATTCATAACCAATAAAACACTTGAAACACTCATTCGGATTATAGAAAATAGTATGATTCATTTGTGATAAGATAGTTTTAGCTTTTTCAACTTATCACAACACTCTGAATACAATGGTGAACCACATGAGATTTTGAATCAGGGTTTCACAACTCTTTCAGGTAGACCCTCTGTACCCACCAATCTTGATGAAGCTCCGGACGTTCGCTCTTCGTTTTCTCACTCTCATAAACACATTCTTAGTGATAAGGTAGTGAGTTAAACTTCCTTGGCAGAGATAATGAACATGTGGACATAGGAGAACATTTCGAGAGGGTAAGCGGACTTTCGCCATTCTCGTCCATAGCAGGGCCTTGGGGTACATAAATATGTGCAGATATATATGAATAAGTTTATTTAATGAGGCAACGAGAAGTTTTTACTGAGTTCCGATCTCTGTCATTTTTATATATGTCCGTTAAAGTGAAGGGTTTTTGTAGAATCCAGTTTACTTCGTAGGTTGTATTCGTCATAGATTGATCTCGCTTTGGGTACGAATGAAAACCATGGAGCATTGGACATTTTTTATCGCAGTATGGGATGTACCAACAGTGTGCATCTAAGACCCCCAAATGAATCAACCTAGAATTTTCTGGTCTTTCCGCGAATACTTAGCGGCTCGACAACTCGAGACCTGAAGGTCTTTGATTCAACCCACGGCGGGGTCGTGAGTACACAATACTGCGGAGTCCTAGAACGTAACAGGTGCTTAGTGTTCCAGGGTTTTCAAAGTCACACGAATTAGGAGATCAGTCTATGGTAAGATTTTGGATGTCATATATACCGCTTTTATTATTTTTATCTCCTATAGCACTGCCCTTATCAACAACAATGTATTTGTTTCGTCGCAGAAACTGTTGATATTGTACTAGATCGTATGTTCCGACTTAAAGTGAGTATTTTTAAAAGGTCATTCTTTTGTTATCATCGATATATTGTTTCTATAGTTTCTCCTTCAAGGTCCAAAGAAAATTTGTTTTGTGGTTTTTCTAGAGGAGGTTTATAATGACGATGTGTTTTTTTAACTGACTCGTTTGCTTCTTAGGGGTGCAGAGGAGAAAACCATACACCATGGAACGTATAATCGGACCTTAATTGTCTGGTTTGTATTTCATAAACGCTTGGATGTGTACTGTGACATTATAAGTTAGCTTCATATAATTGGTGCGATTGGGTTGCTGATAACCTGATAGCCTAGTAAGAGTATTCAGATTTCCAATAAATTTACCATCTCATCACCTTATATCACTAAGCTTAGCTACGATATTTTGTTTTGTTCTTAATTTATATTCAGTCAAGAATATTCACAACTGATTAGTCAATAAATAGCGACCAATTTCATGTTCGTTCTATCTTTGGTCAGATTTTATCAAACATGTTACAGTACGACCACTAGTATAAGTTACTCAGCATCACGTGTACGTTTAGATATTTAGTAGTTGGGAGAAGTAGGCGGTATGAAACCCTGGATCCAGGTTTTGTGCTACTTGAAGCTTGTAAGCTAAGTGTATCTACAATCTTAGGAAAACTGAAGGATTCGAAACCGTAACCTGAAATATTTGATTATAATATGTTAAGTTGAAAAGATGAGTAGCTCGGGTTGGAATCCCCAGGGAGAAGCATCAATTCTCTTAAGATTTCAATTGCTTGTTATCGAGTCGCATTTAGCGCGAACCCTAGGTCCAGGGGTTTCCACCATCTAACCCAAAACACTAAATGTCAAAAATACATACTTGGAACTATATATGGTATACACAAATTAACTATTTCACAACCATTATCATTTTGTAGTTTTCTCATTTACTATTGAGGTTATTCAGTGAGCAACCACTAAGCTGAGTAAATTTCGCTTCTCTGATTGTTGTAATGTGCATATGGAACCTTCTTAGAGCTATTGGAGTCTTAGGGTCTTTTATAACCTGATAGATATCGTTCATTTTCTGGACGCAAACAAACAACATAAGTGAAATCTCTTCTACATTTCCGTCTTGTCATTTTATCCACGTTTTTTAGTGAATTTATTATAATTGGAAATGTATAGTATTGCTTACTGGCCCAGCAGTTTAATGGATAAGTCCCTGTTGTGAAACTTGGGGGCTCTAGGTTGGTGAGGTTGTAAAGGTTTACCCTACTCAAGAGTCCCATACTTCGACCAAACACCTGTCTAATGCCTTCTGGCTTATAAAGATAACTGAAATTAGTCCGTGACGAATATGATCAAGAAATGGATGTACGTAGGATGAAGGTACAAAAAGTCCCAAATACGACGAAACGCGCGTCCTGGATTCCATTGTTAGTTGCCATCCACCTTTGCTTATAAAGATTGCGACTTCAGGCAATATCGAGGCAGTTTGCCGTAGATGCACATAAACTAACAAGTGACTGATCAATTGCAGTCCTAAACACTAATCGGGAAACACAAGCAAACAGTACCAAGTGAATTTAAGATAGTATGGTTTTATATATTACACATTTAACTTATTTTTGCTCAATGACTTTGTGATTTTGTTTTATTATCACTTAGACACCTTGCTTGATAATGTTTGATACACGAAAAAATAGCGCGTCGTGCACTGTAGCAAGTAAACCATTCGGTAGACCTGTTGGTATGGTTACAGCTAAAGACATATTACATACAGTTATTTTAGGCCATCGTCATCATCCTTCTTCTTTACATTCACATCCATCTCATCACATTGATGAATCTATGAATACAAGTCAAAACATGTCCGAAGATGATAATATTCCATATCGAAATAAAATACGTGACAATTATAAACGAACTGTCTCTTTCGAATCCGGCGTTCTGTCATCTAGCTGTCAAGATGGTTCAGAAAATATATTTGATGCATCGAGTGGTCAAGTTAAATTGGAACATTCTGAAGAGAAGTTTTCACGATCTCCTTCATTTGATTCACTTCCTTCAAGTGGAACATTTTCCGTATCTAGTTCCAATTCCGAAGTGGTACATTCATTATCCAATGAACATTTCACATCAACATGTACCGATACTGTTACAAGACGTGATCATTGTAATTGTACATGTCATCATCAACCATCTACCATTTTCGATAAACATCAATACCAGCAATCTCATCACTCTAAAGGTACTCAAAGTTCTGTAAATCCATCAGTTGGTTTTCTTGATAAAATTCACAATAGATCACTACATAGTTCAGGTGAAGAATGGTGTGCTGATCGACGATCTTCTGTACCATGTACAATAAAAGCGAATATGAGAGGAAATCTTAATATTCCAGAGAATGAAAGGTAATTATTATTTATAATTTGGCTAAGTTACTTAAAAGGTGTTTCTTTTGATAGATTTACCATCTATTTAAGATTAGTGTTATTTAGTTGAGAAGGTATTTAACAATAAATAAACAGTAATCATTCCATTGACCACTAGAATATGCAGTTAGGGTAATATTAATTATTTTGCACAAAGTTAGTGCTATGACTTCATAATTTAAAAAAATGTTTATACTTTACAATGTGACTGTAACTTCTTCTAGTATTACGAGATAACTTGATATAAAATAGAACTATGTAAAGTAAATACTGTGACCTATTCTGTGTTGTTTATTGATAACTCTGAGTGTACCACATAGTTTTAGATTACTTCTTTTTAAAATATATTTATTTTGAATACTCCATTTGTTGACGATGTTTATTTATGCTCTTCACCTTTTACAAATATGAAAATAAAACGTGTAGAGTTGTACTAACATAATTTATAATTAGTCCAAGTATAATTTTACGTTTTACAGTTAACTGATGATTTTTAACTTACAAAGATGTGATTATACATGGTATGTCCATAATAGCTTAATGATGAAAACACTCGACTATCAACTAGTAGATCCTTGGCTCAAAATAGTCTCTGTTTGTTTTATAGAGCGTAAGAGTATATCTAGTACTTTACAGACAACGTAGTTGAAAGCCATGTACATTCATTTGTACTAGGCAAATGGATTACATTATTTTATTTATTGGTACGGTCATCTATCTGATCATGTAATATTTTTTCCAATGCTATAACTAATATGCTATTGATATTCATCAATCAGTTTTAAGTAGTATGTCAAGATTTCTGGCTTCGAGTTATGATTCTCACTATGTATTAGACAAATTTTCTTTGCTTCAAGGAACTGAACAATATTTTAATTTTATTTGATCAAAATTTTAATACTCGTCTTTATTCTATTGTTTAAATTAACTGTTCATTGTTTAAAACTTGCATGATATAATAGAAAGAAATAGATTTATAATAAGGGGTATATTTGCTGCTAGTAATATATCCATTAGTGTAATCGTACCGTTTATACTAATACCAGTGTTCAAACATGTAACACTTGATGATATAACAATATGTATTGTTATTTATCAATATTCAAGAATTGTCAGTTATCTTGCAATAAGTTTAGCTTTCGAAGTGATGTGTTTGTAGTTATTGGTTACACTTAAATAAAGTGTATAACTTGTATGCTCAAATGCGATTGTTTAAATAGTTTTAACAAATATATTATTATTCACTTGGTATTGTTTGGCTTGTATCTTCCCATTGAAGTTTAAGACTGCAATTGATCAGTCTGTCATTGGCATATGCGCATACTGTGCGTATGCCTCGATATTACCTTAGGTTATTAGATTATTTCTGTTATCATGACAGGTAAACATAATATGAGTTTCTGTCAGTTTCTACAGATAATAAACATGTGAAATCAGAATTACTAATAGGTTTGGATAGTTGACGGAAATTATTTAAAAAATGTATCTATGCGATATGCTTTATAGATCCACATTGAAATGCATTAATATCTTTATTAGTATTAGTTAAATAATAGCGAAATCCTTTAGTGGCCCGGGATGTGACTCCAGTGAGATGGTTTCTGATTGATATTGAGATATACATATCGTCAATCCTCGTATATTATCATCGACTTAAATCGCGTTAGTGAACAACGGAATTAAATAAAATAAATACGAGGATGGATTTTGAATATATACATTTCATACACTCATTGATTTGAACAGGCAATCGCGGAATGAAGCGAAGAGAAGTGAGCGAAGCGATATGACGCGCAGTGGAGAAGGCATGTGAGCCAACTCCATTTAACTAAGCGTTAATCAATATTTATAGTCACACAGAATTAAGCTACAGACATGTGATGAATGGAATAAGAAAGGTACACATATACGCTTACATAAAAACAGTCAAGGTTGATAAGTGAATAATTAACAAGGTTAAAAGTAACTCAAGTAGAATGAATAGATTGGTCTATCCGAAAGCTAAAATAAAGCTAGAATTAAAATTATCTGTTTGTTTTGTATAGAAAAATTAGGAGTGACATCTTTAGTATTGTGGATAATAATACTTGAATTAGACAAAAAAAATTGACCAAAATACATCGATTTTTCACTGTAAATTGCACAATCCAGCCTATATTTCTTTTCCTATTTCTTCGTTCTCGTCACTTTCAGTGATTCACTTATATCCAAAGTTTAACTTTGTTCCAGTCACTTAGTCTTAAACAATTGATAATATTCTTATTTCAATGATATCTAACCTTAGTATATTTTACAGTTTCAAACTGAACGAAATACCTTCAATTTACTTAATATGGTTATGAATTTAGTTTAATATTACACACATTAATTTTTCTCCACAAAGTTCGTACTCTTCTCGGACCCAAACAAATAGAAGGGCGGTAATCACTATATCGCTTTGTGAACATCAGCATGAGTGTCCAAATCAATCCTTTTTTTGGAGTTTCAAGTAGGACTAAATTCATATGTTCAGGATCCCATCACTTGTCACAATCCAGAAAAAACCCGACTTTTTTTTTAATCAAGCGACTTATTTTACTCATTGTTTATGATCTTTTCACTGATAATTTTTCTAACAAGACAATTCTTTCTTTTCTCTAAAAAATTCAATTATTTATAGAAAGTCTGTTAACTCAGATCGACCGAAACAATTAACTGTTTCCAATCCTGACATACAGAATAAAAATGATTTAAGCAGTTCACTACAGTTAATCGACAACAGTTTCACTGAAATCAATGAATCAATTGTTGGCGATATTTCTGTTCAATTGAATAATAATAATTCTAAGAATAAACTGGATAAAATGGTCACTGAAGAGGAAGAAGATGATACTGTTTTCCCAATGGATTAGAAGAATTTGATTGATTCTATTCTTTGTTCGTTTATTTGAAACAAGATAGCGATAACAGCGCAGCCACGATTGAATATAATATTGATACTAGTTATTTGTATTAATTGAGGGTTGTTGCACTTCCTTTTTATTTAATAAATTAAATATGATAACAAACATTTTACATCTTTGTAGTACCTATTTGCCTTCAGAAATCTTATCAGTTTTTGCATTCTTCCATAATATATGTACATGACTTAAGAAAATAGAATACACAAACTGCTGAATAATGATATGTACATTCATATATATTCTCCGGTCGTGATGAAAACACATATTACATACATAAATCTATGCATGCGCAACATATTCTTTTACTATTGTGTTTCTTTAGTTAACAGAAACATAAATAGATCTTCACCACTGGCCTATAATTACCCGTTTTTGTGGTGAAATATAACTCAATCGAACAGTTTAATCTTTTTCTATATGTATTTCATGTATTTTCATTTCTTTTATAAAAATCATGATATATAATAAAATTTAATTGGTAAACCTGATAATTAAGTAGTTAGCAGTCATACTCCTCTCACTTAGTTTTGTTGAGTGATCTAACATATTTACCATTTATAAGTGTATTTATATACAATGTTTCCAATGTTCAGTAAGTATCCTATATTTAACGATTTCGTCCACTTTTTGCTCATTTAGTGGGTGAGTGATGCACATCGGAATGTAAGTTTTACCGAACGGTTTCATTTCAAGAGTCTAGAGTTATCCTCAATCGTTCACTATGTATATGACACTATGGCTCAGCCTACTACGCCGAATAGAAAACACAAATATCAAGGAGTTTAGGGCTTAAATTAAAATCCATGATCAAAGATATACTATAATATTCGAGTGTTTGAACTACTTACAGATTATTCGACGTTACAACGAATAGATGTTATAAACTGTATGTTTAAATTGATAGACAATAACATTATGTATTGAATATCAGTAATTAACGTAGTATAATACATAAAAGAAAGAAAAATTCAATTAGAAACCACATGGCAGAATTACTATAATGATGAAAACAACATTTCAGCGTACGATTCCTTTTAAGGTGTTGTTTAAATGATATTCAAAAATTCTAAAGGAAATTGCCAAGATTCAAATGATGTGATATAGGAAAATTATTTCGAAGGTAGATAAGTGAATTATGAAAAGGTAACAAATAAGTAAAAAAAAACGATTTCAAGTATAGGGGTTGTGGAGATTATTAAGTTTTTGATTGAGATCATGAACCGATTGATGTTGGACCACCACCTTTAGAAACCTGGAAGCACTGGACAGCCGTTTCGTCCTATTGTGGGACTCCTCAGCAGTGCGCATCCACGATCCCGCGAGCGGGATTCGAACCCAGGTCCTTCGGTCTCGCGCGTGAATGCTTAGCCAACTGGACCACTGAGCCGGCATCCAATGGTGATAGTGTCTTACATCAACCAATCCACGAAATTGCGCGACCAACTTCGTTTGTACTGAGGTAGATACCTGTCTCTACCCGACATGGATTAGCTCCACTGATCACGGCTTCTCACTAGAACTCCGAGAATTCCCTCACGAAGCTAGTCACTAGTGAGCACATGTTGAGTACTAGTATAGGGGTTGTGGAGATTATTAAGTTTTTGATTAAGATCATGAACCGATTGATGTTAGACCACCACCATCGTCGATGCGCACTGCCGAGGAGTCCCACGGTAGGACGAGACGGCCGTCCAGTGCTTCCAGGTTTCTAAAGGTGGTGGTCTAACATCAATGGGTTCATGATCTCAACCAAAACGATTTCAAGTAAATATTTCTCTGTATACAACTCAAAATTTAAATCGTGAATGACTAGAGCTTTTGTAAGGTAGAGTTGGCTTAGATGTTTACACCACTGGGAATCTTTAAATTGATTATTTTAAAGAGCCAATTTGAAATGGAATATTTTTGATCAACTATATTTTAGGGAATCAAGGATATTATTAGTCGATGTTGTCTTTTACCAAGCGATCTTGGTAAATGTAGAGATATACTGTTTTGGTTAAAAATTAAATAACCTAATATAGGATGTTTGAGTATTTCATTGTAACACAAACTGTCTATAGTTAAAAATGGTCGTGTTCTACCAAAACCCTGACAACTTAAAGTTTCATCACCTAGAAATTAAAAATGTATAAAAACCAGTATTTGTTAGCTTTGACAAATTAACTTGATAATCATCTATAGTCTTCTAACCGAAAAGAATATCTCTGAATGCACTATGATTCACATAAATGGCAGATGATCATGTTACTTTAATCTCATCATATTGTATCAGTATTGTATGTAACTGAAGTGATAAATGCGATAAATAATTACTTCTATTGGAATATTTTCAGAAAAGAAGAACAGATAATTCAATACTATATAAAATTTGCATCAAATAGCTGGTACGTAAACTCAGTTTATATTTTCATTATTACTCAGCTAGCTGAAAAATTTGTGCTGTATGAAAGTGGGGAAGCTAGCACTGAATTTATAACACCACTTATATTCTACATTTATATACGTGGTATTTTCAACTAAATGAATTGAGTAACTAGCATCATTTGGAAAAACTCAGGAACTTCACGAAACTTTGAAGACTGTCTATGAAGAAAATACTGGATCAACTAATTTATAAGCAATGATTCTGAGTTAGGTAAGCCATCAAACCAATGTGTTGATGAAAACAGCAAGCATGTCTTGTGCTTTGTACTTTTTAATCAAGGATTGACTTTCCGGATGGTTGCCGCTCAAATAAACTTAAGGAAATCATATGTGTCCGTTATATGAAACGATCCCAAGTTCTGAGAATGCTTTGTATAATGGAAATGCAGGTTGGATAAGTGTGTCATCACAAATATGGAGTATTTAAAAGAGGAGTAAAACTGGTATACCCTCGGATTTATTAAACAAACTTTTTACGACCTCAGAATACTAACTGAAGAGATTAATCACTTAGAGACAATCGGAAAAATCATTTTTCTCCAACACTACTAATCTTTATTCCGACTTTATTGAAAGACTAATTTTATAGTAAGATGGACAATCTAGTATCGTAGTAAGCAAAGTCACACTTGTGAATACTCACACGTTAATCATTGATTTACTTCAATTTATTATCAGCCTTTGGGATTTTTACCTTATTTCTAGAATCTCCCTGCGTAGTACCTTGATTGTCATGCCACATGAAATCAATGCTAAACAGGTATGAGTTTGATAGGTATTATCCGTGGTGTGTCTTCGAATCGCATGCAGTCAGGAGAACTGTACAGTTACAATTATTGATTTTACTAAATGTGAGTGTAGCAAGTATGGGTGATATGTACATATGTGCGTAACTTGGCTATCAATTGGGCAGACATGCAAGGACATTCAATGAATTTTTTTTATACAGTCACGGACCGCAGTCCAGATGAGGTTAAAATATGTATACTGTCTATTTTTCTACTGTAAATACACAGATATGATTATCATGGTCAAACAAGTGACCAAAGCAGGTATAAGACATTGACGCATATTGTTCAATAGTTAGTCAATAAACACAACCTCACACAAAATGTACATTACAAAATGTATGGCAATGGATTAGTAAATCCCTTGGTCAAGGTTCCTGTTCATTTAAAAGCCGTGAATGAAATCAATCCCATTATCCAATGTTTTACGGGATAACCTCTCAGCAAGTTGTGAATATTATACTGAAGCAAACTTGATTCACTGAAATTATGTTTTTCCAGTAATGGTCAAGAAAAATAAAAGCGGCCATGTAAAGTTTAATAAGTATATTTGTAGTTCTTTGTTTGCATTCAATTGTTTACATAATATTTTCACGTACGGAACTTCTCTCCATCTCTCAGAGTTTGTTTATGACTCAATAATCAACTCTTCTCGTTACCTAGTATTCCTGACGTCTCTAAGATCTTCTTGCACCCTCTACTTCTATTGAAAAATAAATGAGTTATAAAGAGAAGAGTTATATTTCTGAGAAACTTTCCATTGCGCATAATTACTGCGAATTTGTTAAGCAAATTGGTTTATAACGAATGAAGACTTCAAATAACAACATTAGTTCACTAACACAGAAATCTATTTACTGCTTAAGCCTCGCATACAGTTTACACATGTCATTCAATTTCATCTTTTTGTAATTACATAACTCATTTTAACTGAATCATAATGCAAGAAAGGTACCGTGTGACTGTGGGAAAATTTACGGGTTTACATATGAATTCATACCCTTATGTGTACATGTACAATAAAATAAAAGATACATGTGACAAACGTTTTTGATGAAAAGTGGTTTCTGTGTGTGTTAACAAGCGCTAAGATAAGGCAATTTTCAATATTCTACCTACCCTGACTTTATAACAAATCAATGTGTAATGTTTTATAGGATAGCGCAGAACACTTCGAAAGTTAAAACTTAAATAACAATATTGTCGTTATACACTATACATAATGAACAAGTTATTGTTTTGTTTCACTTAATCCTGAGTACGTCCAAGTGTTGACTATTTTTTAACAGTTTCTTCTGATATTTTGTCAACAATAAGATAATTGCCTTGTTTACATAAGTTAACTTTGAGGTTATTCATCATAAAAGATACCATACTTTTAAGATCGCGTAGAATCGGATAAAACATTATAACTACTTATTGAATTGACATGGGGAAAATTTGTCAGAAAATTGGCTGTCATAGTACTTCGACGTTTAACATACATGAAGTATGTGTTGATTAATGATGCAACAAACGATTCCATGGTCTTTGCAAGGCTACATATCTAAGAAATGTAATTGTGGACATGATATTGTGAGTAATCGAACTGTTCATCTAACAAAGCTAACTTATTTCGGTATCCGAAGGTTGGAAACATTATTATTTAGCCATTATCAATCAAACTTTTCCCGTTCAGCATTAATTTTCTTATTCCAAGTCAAGTGTTTAAGCTAGTGTACATTAATTAAAGCAGAGGTGAATAGTGGTCATCAGTGAAATCCACAACTCGCTTCTCGTCCTATTTGGAACTTATCAGCTTGATATAATTGCATCCCAAAGTTGATATCCACTCCAGGACTTTACCCAAACTCCATCGTGTTATCCACTTAGCTACTGACCTCAGATAGCCACTAGCTTGTATTTGTGAATTTCTTATTCATTTTTATATTGGTTATCAGTATGGGTCTTGGAGATTGTTGAGATCATGACTAGATCAATGTTAGATCACCATTAAAAACCTTGAAGTACTGGACGGCCGTTCCGTCCTAGTATGGGACTCCTCAGCAATGCACGCGAGATTCGAACCCAGGACCTTCGGTCTCGCGCGCAAACGCTTAATCTTTAGACCAATGATCCGGCATCTAACGGTGCAAATGTCTAACTTCAACCAATTCACAACATTGTGCGACCATCTTTCAATATCTAAGGTAGATATTTGTCTCTACCTGACATGGATTAGCTACACTGGTAACGGCTTTTCACTAGAACTCCGAGAATTACTTCTTGAAGCTAGTCACTAGTGGGCACGTGGTCATTATCACTATGGGTTCTGGGGATTGTCGAACTATGGGTTGAGATCATGGATGATGGCTAGCAGTGGAATCGAGGTCTGCCGTTTAGTTCGTCTCTGCTTATGATGCTTCTAACTAGAGGCAATATCGAGGCGATCCACATAGGATACACATATGCCAACAAGAAACTGATCAACTGAAGTCCTAAACATCAAATTCAAACAACCTATCCAAAAATGAATAAGTATACATAAATCATTAAATCCGATAATTATCTTAAAAAGAAATGACCACAAAATATTGATGTACCAGTTTCGCCCATTAAATGTATAAAATACCGACATATATCATAATATTTACATACTAATTTGATAACACAATTGTACTTTACTCACATGGTAACTTTACGAACACCTTTTTTCATGGAGATCTCAGTTTTGTTAGCTGGAGTGAAATCCATACTAAGTTTACAGTCTTGAATTCGAATTTTCAGGTGATTTTTTGAATCTAAACTATACTTTTCGTGTCCAACTTTGATTTTTCGATTGCCTAAAATTAATTTTAGGAAATTATATTATTAATAATCGGCATCGAATTATGAACATTTTACTTGTAACATTGTTTAAACTGAAGAACTTATTTATTGCTGATTTTTTTGATGTTTGGAGATTCTAACAGAATTGTTTATGTGTTTAACGCAGGAAAATGAATACAGTTAAGTTTTTCAGATTGTTAAGACAGTAAATTTAGTTTTATTTAAAATAGCCCACCTTTTGAATATGGTTCATGTACTTAGGTGAGCAGTAATGTCTCGATACACTTGCACCACCGATACTCTTATGTGAATTTGAAGAAATATGACTATTTGAAAGAGCATTATAAATAATATATTACTTATAGTAAGTTTTCTTTTCAGTAATCTAAATAATGGATAACATACTGAAATTCTCAATTGATTGATCACTGTGTGGTGATCAATGTCATGCTTGTCTAGTCCTTATTAGTGCAGATCGAATGCTATCGATCGCCAGGGAGCATCAGTTCCCTCAAGATTACAAGTACACCTTGCTGACGAGTGCCAAGTAGCACGAAACCCGGGTCCAGAGTTTCCTGTTGACTACCTACAACCATCATCTAATACTGAAATTCTGTTTTCTTATTGGCAAAATTGATTATACCAGCTTAAAAGTTCAGACAAAATTGTTTGAACTGTTTTATAATATTGATCAATAGAAGAAAAGCACCTATGAGAACAGTTGATTTAGAGTATCATTTTCAAGCCCGCTAATAAATCGATATGTATTAGAAAGACTGCATTGTCAGTCATTCTACTAGTTCCAAATTCTCGCTACATCTCTAACCAACCAACCAATCCATAAATGTATTCAGTGATATTGATAATTTTCTTCACGGACCGACAACTTGGGCATACACTGTAGATTAGAAAACCCCGATAGTTGTTCCTACCTATGTCAAGTTTCTCTTGGAGTAAAGTCAGAAATTTGGACTTCTATAGTTAAACAAATCAGAAATAGAACAGTTACTCATTGACGACAGTGAAAGAGGATAGCGCTATGTCACAAATTCAAGTGGTGTTAGGACAATATTAACAAGTAGATCTTCATTTATTACTTGAATGACACACTGGACATGTACTGACGAATGAAATGGTAATCAGTTATCCTTGGTTTTCAGCTATTCCGTAGACTAATATCAACCAATGTGGAAAAGTGAGTAACAATTTATCAGAATAACTAAACTAAACTTTCTTCTTTTCGATCAAAACAATTTTCTCAGTGAATGTTAAGATTTTATTTTTGTTTTCCTGGTGGCGTACATATAAAATCACATATTTATGCCTCAGTTAATCACATAAGCAAGTGGTAGTTAACCTCAGATAAATCATCAACAACTCACCACGATCATCGAATTTCAATGGAGCTTGGAGTACAAAACATCTGTTTAATTCCATATATGACAGTATTAAACCAATTAATAAATAATTCGCTGTCGATAGATTAACCATTCTTTTTTCTATGATAATAATAATAATCAAAAAAACTCTATTTCGTTCGAAAGATACATATTATTTATTTATAGAAAGATACACATGTTTGAAGTTGTTACGAAAGTATAAATAGAATATTATTGCTTGACTACCAACCATTTTTGACTAAAGTCCTGGAACTACCAGTAAAAATATATGGTCTGTGAAGTTGGCGGTGAGTTAGTCATTATCAAATGTGGGGATGATGTTTGAGTATGCTTAATGCATATTGTCTAAAGTCAAAATCGTAAAACCATAGCACTCAAGTCATTAGTTTAAATGTATCAAGTTCATTATGAGATCTGAATTTTGTAGATCAGATCTTATTTGCGGTTGTCGGTGTTCCCTAAATTAAGATGAAACATTAATCCAGACAATTCTATAGTATATATCAGTCTCCGATATAAAAACTATCTTCAACGTATCATAAGAATGTGAAATTATTGATATAAACAGCTGATAATGACTTACTTCAATAACAATAAATAAAACATTAAATTGCAAAACAATTTATACAATCCCATTTTATACTATCTATAACTATCTATTAATTCATAATTGATCAATAAAATGCAAACATTGAACATATTGTCATTGTCATTCATTCTCTTTACTCCTAGAACGGAGCATAATTCAATGAATAGAATGACATTTTAATAGTTAATTTATGACATGAATGTTTGCAAAAAGTCAAGTATAGTATTAATTAATTAACCAACATTCATTTTCTGCTAGACTTGACTCCTTTTATTACGTAATAAAATGGAAAAATGGACATAAATTTAGATTTTGTCATGTTACTTTTAAAAGACAAATTATCTGTCAATTGTCTTTAGTCATAGTGTGAAATTTTCGATTCCCAGGACAGAGTGTGTTGGAGAATGCTGGTCGGCGGCCCATGCTCCATTGGGAGTAACAGGCGTAAGTAAGTAAGTACGTAAGTAAATAGAATGTTCGATCAGCAAATTTATTGACATTGACTATGTTGGGTCATTAAAATAATTAATGATAATAATACTCGTTTTATTTAACGCTTTATATTTTATCATAGTGTGGTGTGTGTTACTGATATCGATTGAAATAAGTAGTATGTATCATCAATTGAAATTAAAACACTTAGAGATAGAAAGTTAAGTAGATCGAATAGAAGAGAATGTGAACAGACAGTGATTAGTGTGGAAAAAAAGAATCAGTCGGGTTTGATACAATTGATTGACGTTTTGCAAATGGAAAACTTACTGTGATTATCTAGAATTGAAATTCAACTGCTAATGTTTACTATCAGTTTTATTCCCATGACATCACTTTTTACATTTTATGCATAAATTCTATAGTAATCGGTTCCCGTTTCTTGATGAAAGAAATATATATATATATATATATATATATATATATATATATATATATATATATATATATATATATATATATATATATATATATATACATGAACCGAGGTGTCGGCACTTCTTAAGGCTTTCAATAATAAGATTCGTAATAGGTTGTAAACATTATAAGAAAATGTGTGGGGACACGTAATTAGAAAAACGAATTACCTAATTAAAACAAATCTAGAACATGAATATTGATGATAATAAGTGCATGTACTCGAGAACGGATGGCCTAGAAGTTTGAGCAAGCCTCTAGTACTCAAATGAGGCGAAAGATGTGAACCAAGTTTTCATGCCAGTTGGTACTTACCAACAAAGACTATCCATAATTGATCATCTTACAGTTTTGTGCTGATATCTGATTAATACTAAGGCCTAGATAAACACAATTCTCGTTATTAATCAGCGACCAGTCAATGTGAACAATAACAATGCTAATGAATATTTCGGGACTCACTAAATCTTGCGGGCTGCCCGATATTTGTACTCATGTTTATGAAGTGCATGAATCTTGGCTTGTGTAGTGGTGTATTTAGGCAACGAATACGCACTATACTCGTTGTTGAGTCGGCTTTCCGAGAGCTGCAACGGAGCCTCCAGAGGCCCTAAATGAGCCGAGGAGTCCTAGTCAATCAGAACATGATGGAGCTTTCTAGAATATCAGCGTGGCATGCTACTATTGGTTAATGGCATAATATGTCTTTTAGCGGATTGGCCAAAATATGATGTTGATTTAACAAATGTTAGCATCTATAAATACCCTTGTTTTTCTGTACAAAAATGAACCTTTGGAGTAAAGTGTTTTTCGCTTATTTTTCGCCTTTTCTCTCGAGTTCAGGTCGCTGCGTAGTTCTAGCTTGCGGGTTACCAGAATAACTTAGGAACCGAATAAAGCGTTCAAATTAACAATACTTATCACTCGCAAAAAGAAAATAAGCTAAAATGTTTGCCTTATGTCTAATAAAATCAGAGGCCCAAACCATCAGGTCGAAAACGTGATAAGATATGGAGGCAAATACTACGGAACGATAACCATCAATCCTCCCTGATAGTCCTTATGCTTATGTGTATGTCGTAAAGTTCATGGACGAAAGTTTATACACCACTTGTATGCATGTATTGAATAAGAGGTAGTCAGTTTTAGTAAATATGTTCAAAGGAAGCTGTGACCACCTACACTCCCAGGTGAGTGAAGATACCTATATGTATGCTATAGGATGCATAAGTGGAAACGTGTGTGTTATTGGTGTGTATGTAACGTATATTCACTCTTAGTGTGAGCATATCTCTATATCCTAAGGGGTGCATATGTGTAAACGTATGTGTTACCAGTATACATTTTGTAACATATACTTGCTTCATGGTGCAACCCTCGCTCACCAAGACCCAGAGGTATCGATTTCCTTACGAAATCACATCCATGCTGTGATTTCACAAGCCTTGATCACAGAAAACAATTTGAGAAAGGTCACTTAGGCTTCACCAAATAAGGCTCAACCAGCTTTAAATGGCTGGAACACCACCACTGGTTGGATACACTAGTGGTATTTGGCACAATTATGATGTTTAAATTTAGGCTGGTGATTAGTGGTGATCATCAGAAAGTCCTTAGTACGTGCTAGTCGATACCTCTATGATAAGAACATGTGCTCTCAGTGACATTCAAATCCACACCATCTATTATCGGTCAGAGACGTTATCATTGAGATATTCTAACCACAACTTCTCGTGAAATCTGCGTAAAAAAGTTGTAATTGAAATACCTCGTTCATTTTCCTACATCCGTCCTATAAACAACATACACTGAAGTAGCCGCTAACTGTTAAATTGTAAAATACTTCAGACGAAATATTTAGACGTAATATTAAATCAAGTTTATCCTTCTCATAGAACCCGTCATAATACACTGAAATATACTGTTATGTTGCTTTTCAATACCAGTACGATTTATACTAAGTTGGCATCACATATTGTGTTTTACTCGCTAGTGTCTAATATAAAAAATATGTATTTGATAATTGATTCATCTAGTTGTTAGGCCTTGCGTATTGTACTTGCTTCCAAGTCGATTTCTTATTCCTCATAATATTCAGCTCTTAAATCCCAAAGTTACTAGAAATGTGAAGTAGGTTTCATCACCAAGTTTAGTTCATTTATTAACAACAATTTGTATTTCTAAGTTAACAAATGAGCTTCAGACTCTAGAATCTTCTAAGAAAGCAACTTACATTGGTTATAATTTTGGCAATTGACTCATCGGATTATGGAACATGATAACCGTTTGATACTTGAGTAGTTTCCAGTGGATAAAAGTTCTTTAGGTTTCTATGGGATTCTCTAAAAAATTAAGTCAGTTCGAACACTGATAAAGCCAGATAAGCTGTATACACTCTGGTTTATTTTTATTTTTATTTCTAACAGTCTGCTCCAAAAACTCTTTGAGATGATTGTCAGACAAAAGTACATTTTACCTAATCTGATTGTATGCTTTCTCTTCAGTGAAATGACAACTATTGATCAAGTATCAGATTACATTAGTTTAATCAAAGAGATGGAACCTACTGACCACAAACTAGAGTTTTTCAATTGTTTGACTGAAATGGATGATAGTAGTAACATGAAACTCGATATTTTTCAGAAACCAACACACTTTGAGAGATCTTTAAATGACAGGTTGGCAGATGGTTGTTCTACGAGGGTCTCAGCTGTAAAAAACTTATTTAACAGTTGTAATTTCACTACAGAAAAAAACATCAGATTAAGTTATATTCAGTCATGTATAATCATAGGAATAACAATCATCTAAAAGAGTTTCAGGACGAAAAACGAATTAGAGTATACTGAGAGAAAAAAAGGACACAAATGTCATCTTATACCGCGTTGCAACATCGGAGGCAACCAAGAGGATACTAAGTAGTCGTAGTATATCAGCTTATTTCTGAACCAGTGATTCTGTAAGGCGAGCTTTATTTAAATTTATGGATATGTTAACAAGGGAACAACAACAGGATGTTGTCTGTGAATTTAAATGTCGTAAATTGATTGCAGTTTGTGTGGATGAGGCATCTAGACAACTGAATATGGGGTTGAAGCAACACCAACAATGTCTGAAGCGTGCTCCAAAACCCTTGATTGATTTAGGGAATTTCAGGAGTAGATTGACTGTAGCACTGGATTCGCTAGAGGGAGGTCAAATGGTCAACTTTAAGAGGGCTTGGTTGGCACGACGACTGATATCTGCAGCTCAGTATATGTATTTTAATCAGAACAATTAGTCTCTACTCTGTTTATATCACACTTGGATTTATTCCGTAAAAAATTTATGTTAATATTTAGACATCACAACTCTGTACTTGATGTTTCTCATTTTACATACACTTCAATGTTTTTAATAAGCTTCTCAATTGTACCACCATTTGCAATAAATTGATTGATTAATCTCTTTGGTAGCAAACAAGGATGATACTTATCCCTTTCTTCTTTAATGGTATACTACTTATTAATTATAAGTAACTTGAATTAATCTAATCACTGGTATGGCTTGAATACGTTTATGACAGCTATTGGCAAGTCACTCGATACCTGGACAAATCATGGTTCATCATCGGAAAATACCTAGTCCTTATTTTTTTGTACAACATCAATATAATTTACGCAAATCCAATTCTTCCTATCTCCCCATTTTTACACAAAACTCGACAGCTGAATTAAAATCCTAGTGTTGACTGTTAAATTTCCAGCATATTCTCTACTATATAAGCATTTTAATCAATATAGTGTTTCATAACGAAAAATGCATGGATTTAGTTTATCATCAGAAACCAGAACTAATCTAGTTTGCATCTGTCCGCTAATGTAAACCATTAGTTCCATACATAAATAAAGATATGACATTTGGATTTTAGAACGTAGATAATACATATGATTGAGATGGAATCTAAAGGTAGACATTTCCAATTCTCATTTTTTCTACTACTACTACTCACATTTTACATAATTCCACTTAGTTTTTGCAATCATCGTTGCCTGTTCATACCTTAGTGTAGATTACTTTTTAGCTATTCATATAATCCAGAGCAAGTTCCATTAAAAGTACCTTTTCATAAAACAATCATGTATGTTAACTTTTCGTCATTTCATGAAACTCTTACAAATTGTTACGATGTTAAATACTGGTAAACTTAGGCAGAAACACTGCAGTAATTCGTATCCTTATATATATGGTTACACATAAATAAAAGGCGTTTTAGCATGTGATTTTTCTAAGTGTTCACAAGTTAATAGGACACCTGTTGCTATATGTTGCATGTCATTTTGCTGAGAAATTCTTTATTACAGTCAGATATGTGGTACTCAACAGATGGATTTTTGTGAATCCTATAATTATTATTATCATCATTATTATTATTGGTAGTGATATTGTTGCGAACAAAAACACAAGTAGGGACAATCGAATGTAGTTGAACATGAAATCGCAGAACGTCTTAGTGAAATCTGAGAACCATACAGTAAATACTGAATTTGCAAAATGTCGATCAATTGTCTCAAACGTGACTGTTCCTTTTTCAAATGTCAATCAATCGTCTAAGAATTCGTTGTTCCTTCATTTCCACAGCAATCATTCTCTGTTCTCGTTCACTTTTCATAGATCTTCTTATCCTTCTTCTGCCAAATATTTCACTTTGGATTGATGATATATACTACTTATATCTATCGACAACAGTGGCACAAACCACAATATAATACCCAACATTTGCCATATTTATAATAATAATTTATCATTCCATTTTTTAATCAAAATGTTGTATCTTCATTTAGTCAGAACAAATTTAGTGATAATCAAACAACAATTGATAAAGCCCTATACTCCTCTTATTTTGAAATACTTATGGCATCAAATAACATTGTTATTATGGTAGTTATTTTGACTAGACTTGATCAAATGTATGATTATGTACTGTTCTTTACAACTTTTGATTAGAAGGTTTTACCTGGTAATCAATTTACAGTTCTTGTTAAAATTACTTAATTAATTGTCAACTGATACCTATAAATATTATTCTCTTATTCGTCAGTGCTTATTTCACGTGTCATTTTCCTACTGGTCAATATTGTACAATGTTATTTTCTATTTTATGGTACGATGTGGTCTGCTTGATTAGTATATAAACAGAGTGTGTTTGAAATATGATTCATATATCCGAGGCTGAGACTTGCGTTCTGGACTTAACTGGCTGGGCTAGACAGGGGAGCGGAACCAATCAGAACCCTAGGTTGTTCTACGTGTTTGCGCGTCTTTGGTCCGATCAATAATTCGCTGTCCTCTAATCAGCAGCATTTTCACAGTCATAACACATTGATACAATATATATATATATATAATCATGAAATCTGATAAAATATTTTTTGCCTTAGTTGAAACCATAAATTGATATTTATCTCTGTCATAAGATACACGCATCTATTTATTGGATACATCTTACCCAGTTTGTTACAAAAGCTTGCATCCCTTGAGTCATTTATAGAGGCTGTATAGAGACTGTATATGTAAAAGGTGAGATGACCACTTCATGAGATGGCATGAAGTAAATGTCCCCCATGGTTATATGAATGAAATTCTAGGAATCGTCTGTACATTTTACCATAAAATTCTTTGAGGATTGTTTAAAATAACATAAAGGTCTAACAATCTTACTTTAATAGTGTATTGTATTTTTCTTATCAAAGTAATATACTACTTTTCATTGAATGAAATCTATTCAACTTGTGTTATTTTACTTCGTTTGCATCACTTAAGAACTTTCTATCTCCTTTTATCTATGATTTATCCGTTTTATTTTCCTATAAACCACCATCTCATTTAACATGGCTTATTTTTTAGTGTTGTTCTGTTGTATCAAGTAAGGTTTTATTATTGTTTTGTAATTTAGGCTCAAATGATGTCAGTAAGTGATACTAAGTCGAATTTCAGTGGATAATATCGCCATCAGCAAAAAAGGTCAATATATTATGCCTATATGTAGCAACAACTGGCAAGAAACTCAAGTGAGAGGAGTTATGTCGATTGGTCACAATCATCTGACATCACCAAGTTTCCAAGCTCATCTAACCTTGAGATTGCGTTGTCTTTTGGTTGATAGAATTTAAAGAGTAGACAGTGTCGCTCTGGTTGGTACTGCTAGTATAGCTAGTATATAAAAATATGACAGTTAAATAGATTACGTTATTCTAGAATCACAAGAATGACTAATGCAGCACTCTATTATACATATGAATATTTTCCATGTGTTGCCACTGTTATGATTCGATCAGTATTGTTTTATTATTACCACCGATATCACAGCTTCTATTCTCATCACATTTAATGCATCGATCTTATATATAAAATTGTATTCAAAGTAATCAATTAAACTTTTCCTGCTAATAATCAATCACTGACGTTATACAACACAATGCTTAAGAATCTCATACTAGAACGAAATAATTTCAAGCTTCTCAATAGTGATCATACATAGATCGGTTCATGATCTCAATGAAATTGGAGGATCTTCATCAATTTATAATGCTAATTACTAATCAATAATATAAAGGAAGATGAGAGTGAAATGAAAATCAATGAAAATTAAACACATACAATCAATAATCAGTTTTATTGAAATGTTTTTTGCAAAGTAAAATTTTCACATTTTAGTAAAATGTACTACTTTTTAACGGTTGAATTAGACTTTTTTGCCACGTTTTTGCTATACCATGATGTACATATTCTAAAAATAGAATTTTAATAAAAACAAAAATAAATTTAAATAAGGAATCTCTTCAAAAAAAGAAGATAGGTGTTATATCCCGATAAGAATAATGAATAGTAACTGTTGGAATCTATATCTGAACTAATACTATACGTATATTTTTATCGTATAATTAGTAAGCAGCTAAGCTATGTATATTAATGTTCCTACTATCATAAGCTTTATTTTAACCTATGAACCGTTATTATACGATTTACCATTCATGAGTTATGCCCAATCCATCAAGTACTATCTCCCACATTCACAGCCACATTTGGCTAAATCTTGTACAAACGTTGTTTCCTATTTTATGGTACGATGTTGTCTGTTTGGTTGATATATAAACCTAGTATGTTTGAAATGCATGATTCATATCGCAGAGACTGAGATTAGTGTTGTGGACTTAACAGACAGCGTTTTATGTGTCATTAGTCCAGTCGATAATTCACTATTCTCTAGTTGGTGGTAACAGAATCATGAAAATTAACAGCATGCTTATCTTTTAAAATCCTGAAGATAATCTGTTTTGTCCTATTTAATTGACATAAAAACTGGGACATAATACTTTAAACTTCCTCTTTACAACTCACTGATACTTTCATTATTTCTCAATAGAAACTGGTAATGTTAATTAAAATACCAAAACCTTTACTTAATAATTAATCCTACAGTCGATCAAAAAAGTTTCTGAAAAATGTTTTGTGATTATTGCTGTTTATTAGTCAGATAGATCTTCACCTTTGAAGAAACTAATAATCTTTTTAGGAGATCTGAACGCTTGTCGCTTGGAACAGAACTCGTACTACTCAAGAATAGGATATTATTGTATGATTATGGCATTTATACTGTAACGTGCAATTCAGACGTATCGATGGAATGATTCCTGGAGTAAATCTTGATATGCGATTCGAATCGATTTTCCACTTTGTCGAAGATCAACCAATAATAATTTAGTAGTTGAGTTCATGAGTCAATTGAAGTTAGACCACCATGGAAAACCTGCAAGCTCTAAACGACCATTTCATCCTGTTGTGAGATTCATCAGTAGTGCGCATCCGCAACCCCAACCCCCGGAATTCGAACTCAAGATTTATCAGTCTCGCACGCGAATTTTTAACCTCTAGGCCAGTGAGCTGGCTGGCATCCAACAGTGTTAATGTCTAACTTCATCCAATTCACGAAATTGAGCCACCGTCCACTATTGTCTTCAGTGAGTTACTGTCTCACAACAGACCCGTGGATGTGCACATGTGAGGAGTCCCACAGAAAGATGAAACGGACATCTAGTGCTTCCAGGTTTTCCATGGTGGTCTAGCTTCAGTCGACTCATGATCTCAACTATTAAACAACTAATAATAACCAACCAAACACACATATGATTCTAACCAATCAATTTCATTCATAAAATATATCAGCTTTTTATGAATATTTTTAAAAACGTGTTCTTCAAATGAGAACTGATAATTTTAATAAAATTCAACTATTAACGATGCATTTATTATTGTCGAAAGAAATTAGCTGGATTAATAGTGTCGATTTTACAAAGAAAAGAGGAGTTAGGAGACAAAATGTCTTTCTAGTTGTTCTAATAAACACTACAAACCCAAGAATGCTCAACGAACAAGTATACGGAAATACAAGTCACAGATCAAATATTTTATCATGATAAAGAAAACCGTTATATCAGAAGCTTCATAAAAATATTACTAATGAATTGACCGGTCATTGCAAAATGAACCCCGAAAACCACAAAATAAACAGTCCAACCATGTATGGGACATATCTCGGAAATCCCTAAAACAGTTTTGATGGGATGGAGAATAGGTATTTCCTTAAATAACGTGGTCCCCTCCTCTTCACCTAAACATACATGGATGTAAACTGGCAGTTAAACGACATGATGTATCATCATTAATATTAGTGTATGCCTACAACCATGAACATCAATTCATTTCGGTTAATGTCAAAATTCTGTGTCGACGAAATTTAAACAATTGCGAAAACGATTAGGAACATGACATGGATGTCAGTTGGTAGTTGGTAGACATACTGGTATAGATCTAGACTGTCAATGCTTATGGAGAATATCAGTCAGTTAAGTGTTACGAGGTCGACCGAACAAGACAGTAAACAGGAGTTCAAGGGAAGATGGAGATAACAAAATCTATTTAAATATTTAAATTGCTTATCTCTGTGTGAAATAATGTCGTCCAGCAAGACTGACCTTGTCACTTGCCTATGTGCTTTGTGAGCTTTAATTTCTTTGGCATTCGGTGCAGCCAAATCCACTGTTGTTACACAGTCACCATCTTTCACTGTCAACTGATCGTCCTTATCCAATACAAGCTTAAATTGTTCCAACCGAAGGAACATTTGATCTGAAATTTTTTAATGAATAAACGCAAAGTTAAAATCTTCATAAAACAGATTATCTGAAATATATCTAACAGTAGATACATGATCTCCAGCTTTAGCGTGGACAAGATATGTATATGGACAGGATATACTACATGAGACATTTTATTAAAACATACGATAAAGTTCTAAGTAGTATATCTGTTGAAAAGTTAAATGATTTGAAATATGTGAACAGATAATAGGATCTATAAGGTGGTCAATACCAAATGGTTCATTTCATTTATCAAATGATTGTTCATTAAAGCACAAACATTCGAGACTTCTGGAATATTTGAAGCTCTTGACACTGAAGTACTTATCAATCTAAATTGAGTTTTAAAACCGTTTAAACATAGTTTCCTTCCATTTAAATATTAAAACATGATGGTAAGCAGAAATGTATAGTACTATGATCAGTCTTTAAAATAATCCGTTGAACAAGTTGTTAGAGAGTTTACTTATGATAAAAAGAAATAATCAACATATCGCATTGGCACAGTTAAACAATATTTGTCATGAAGTCTGAATATTGTTAGAAATAGTTAGTAATCTCTTTTATCCGATAATTTAATAACGATATGATAGGCAGGAATTTAAGACAAGTCTCTTTAGGGTTTAATTACAAGTAGAATAAAGTAAAGCATGTAGATTTTACATACTGATAGACAGATAAAGTATAGAAAAAGGCATGTGTATTCCATCAACTCAACTGAGTACTTGATAATTATTCACTTTGTTAGTTACAGACCAAGGAATTCATAATAAGTTTGGAACTCACTGCAGATATAACTATCATACGGGAGAATGAAACAAAATGATATTCCAAAAGTTTGACTTTAATCATCAAAATAATGCACTGACTATCGAATGGTGCGTTCTCAAGTGAACAGATGCATGCATATGTGTCAACATGGATTTGAATCATTTTTATGCTTGAATTAAGAGTTTGAAGTAGTTCATCAAAACTTAACAGGTTACAAACTTAAGTGTACACTAATCAATCGTAGGCCTTATTGTGCCCAATTTAACAACACATATACATTGCATCTTCATCTCCATTGTTGGAAATATCTGTAGAAGTCCTTAAAAACCAAGCTTTTTAATTAGCTCATCGTTTTACATTTCTTTGTCACTACATTGTTCCACTGACGCCTCTGTTCAGATTTTGGGTAATCAGATGAAATTACTGGGGATATCGTCCATTGAAAAGAGATAATCTATAGTGATGACCGAATGACAGGTTAGAAACTCACATTCGGTCATGGTTGAATTTACAAGTGATAAAAATTCATGGAAATAGCTAACTCTTTGATTATCAGAAGAATAAAGACTTAGACAAACCACGAGTGTGAAAAGATGATATAATATGGCATATGTTTCATTGTATGAATCTTCATATTGTTTGCATAATTCAGTTTCGTTTAGATATAAACTTACTATTTTCATTAAATTCAATTGGAATATAAAGATTACTGAATTCGGTAATTACCACTGGCATAATTGATAATGATGCAATAGATAAAAATAGCAATAGACTAATGGAGATTAAATTCATTTCTGTTCAGCGTTTATTATGACTATTTATTCAGAAAAGAAAAAGACAAAGAAACTTGTGTTATATAAAAAACTAACGCAAAAATGTTTTGCGGATCTTATAGTAATTTAGTAGTTGAGATCATCAGTCAATTGAAGCTAAACCACCATGGAAAACCTGAAAGAACTGGATGGCCGTTTCGTCCTATTGTGGGACTCCTCATTAATAATTAACTTGAAACAGATTATTTTCTTGAAGAATGTTTAATCTTTAGCTCAAAGGAAATTTCTGTGGTAAATCATGAATATAAAAATTGGTAAACAATAGGCAATACACTATTTGTAGACACTTGAACAGGTAAGAATATGATGTTGTTGTTAACTCGTTAACATATCGAGATAATGAGAGGGAGGGGATATATGCAGATGTATTCATAAAATTAATTTTGGTAACCATCTAAGAAGAACTTATTCCATACTGATAGATAAGTTCCCGTGACAAAAATACTCAATATCAATAGAAACCAAGTGTAAACCTTGGAGAATATCTATAACATAAAAAAAGTCTTTACATACATCCATATATGCTACTAGCTAAGTAGTAATTTTTTAAAAAATTCAAGGTTGGCTCTATGGTGTAGTTTATTCTGAAATATTTTAAACATCGATCTTATGTAATGAATAAATTCAGTTTGGATAATATTTTGTTAAGTTTGTTGTGTGTGTGTGTGTATGCATGTTATATAAATATAGATTAGTATCCAATAAGCAGGAATAATATGAAATTGGAAATATTGATTTATTATTCAGAATGGTTTTCACATTGTTTTTGTGTACTTCATTTTTTTGTTACGGCTTACCCTTAGTTTGTCTAATTGACTTTTTTTAGTTTTCATGTCATAACGAGTATATGTGTGTGATAAGATTGTTCGAAATGTATTGCGCAAATATATCATCACATAATTCTGATAACCTTCGTCTTTTGGTTGCATTAACGAAATTCGAAATTGATTAGTTCAAAGTGATAGTGTAGTAAGTAAACAAAAGTGTAAACTGACATTACTGCAGTATTAAGTCATTCTGTATAACTGTCGATAAAGAAAATTTCCATTTTTTAGTTGAATTCATAAGTCTATTGAAGCTAGACAACCATGGGAAACGTGGAAGCACTAGACGACCATTTCGACTTACTGTGGGACTACTCAGCAGTGCTCATCCACGATCCCGTCTCGCGACATTCCAACCCAAGACTTATCAGTCAAGCGCGCGAACGCTTAACTTTAAACCACTGACCTAGCATCCTATGGAGCTGATATCTAACTTCAGCCAATCCACGAAGTCGCGCCTGTGAACACTAACACAGGGATGTTATAATTCAGTTTTAAAGGGGACATTAACTGTTGTTTACTTTAAAAGATCATAAATATTGTTCATAAGGCTACTCAACAGTTAAGCTAAGAAAATGGTTTACATCACTAATGTACTTTCACTAAACAACCATTGCCAACCAACGAATACTGAACAGCAATAAGAAGTCAGTATATGAAGATAGTTGTAAGATATTTTCCTGCATAACATTAAAATCTGTTTTCTTTATTCCAATGAACTTACCATTACTACTATAAGAAGAAATAATCTTTTTTAAAATAAAATTTACATTATCCCAATTGAACTCACATGATCAAAAAGAAAATCTCCTAAAAGTTAAATAAATATCAGTTCAAATTAGAGACTATTTATACTGAATATATTCAACATTTTAAATTGGGGTATGACAATTGATCCATAAAAAATCAATAAGAGAAACAAATCAATAATTGACAAAATTTGTTACATAATTATGAAGAATTATATGACATTATATATAGAACATTGAATATTGATAAAATGTAACATTTTTTACCATAGAGACTAAAAAAATAGGAATAAATTGACACTTATGTAATGTGAATTTATTAAAGATTTCTATATTATTACATTGAATAAATGTAGGCAAACTGGTCAAACTTTAAATTTAAAGTCTTTTGTTCAAGCATTATACATTTAAATTAGTTTATTTGATTATATTACAGTAACCAAGTGCAGATTTATACCGTTCGCTTTGAACCATAATTTATGTGTTTTTAAATATTAGTGATACTATACAGTGAACCTGATTAGAGTAAGTATTGCATTGTTTGAGTATAGATCTTATCAGCTATGAGTTGGATATTTTTACTACTAACCATATTTTTTATATACTTGGTGTATGATTGACAATGGATTCCAGGGCATGGGTCTTTTTCAGTTTGGGACCCGTCCGTTTACTATCTACCTACAGTATTCATATTCATATTGAGACTCAAACTTAGCACTTCTCATTTCAAATGCATTATCTATTGAGTTACTGAGCCCATGTAACGTATACATAGTAGATGTACTAAAACGTTTGACTTAACATTTTATCAAGCTCATCTGCTCAAGTTGCACATATGGTAATAGAGATCTTGAATATTCATAGTGTAAAATTTCACATTCTTAGTAAACGAATTTTTACATTTAAAATAATCCATAACTATTTCGTAGAATGTGTATACACACGAAACCCTATAAAGACCGTTGAATGCTACCGGTATAGTTATGAACAATCATGAATTGTGTAAATGATGTTTTTTCCAGTTGGCCGATTCATTTTGAAGTTTACAGTTTGTATATATTCGATAGATATTTGGATACTAAATAATTATTTCAGTCAGATTATTTCAATAACTTTATGAATCGGTTGGAAGATATTTTCATGTTTGTTAAGATTGAGATAAGTTAGATGTGTTCATGACCTTCCCATTTAAGGTACTGAATAATTTTAAGAAACGGAAATGAATTCATTATCATTCGACGATTGTAATTGCTGTAATCAAATGCTCTAATTATAGCAGTTTTTAAGGTTCTTTATGAGTTGTATTATTAAAGTCTTCATCAGTCGAGTCATATGATCATTTATTTTAGTATACAGTTTCCTACCGTTTGTAAATGTTTGCATTTTACTCACTGTTTGATTGATTACTAATAGCGAACAAGGTCATTGAACGTATCCCAAAATATTTCTCTTGTGTATAATGGTGGAATGTATGATATATATTTTATTCTGGATGTACTCACTGAGATTTGAACTCAATACCCATTAATTCAAGTCCCCATATGATAACTAATAATCTGCTGAGTTCATTTAAGGACTAATTGATCCAAAGAGGATGATAGTTACTATTATTTATGTGGGTTCATATCCTGGAATATTAATTGTTGGTGTCTGAAATGTTGGCATAGCGTTTGAGACTCACTGTGTACTCGAAAGGATGAACATCGAACTGACAAGTTCCAAAGAGGACGTCATCTTAGATCTGCATTTTAGCGTTAACTGTAACCTAAAATGTAATGTTCAATTTCCTCATTTATTATGGTTGGTTGAAGCATTTTAGGCTTATTATAAATACTGTCATTAAAATTCAAATCTTAGTTTATAAAAACTACAGTAAATGGGCTTATCTGTTGTGGATTTACCATTAATCTTTGAAGTTGTAACGCAGATAGAAAACAAATAAAATTTTTAGTGTTTACTGATATTTCTCGAAGGCACACATTTACTGACTCTTATAATGATGATTTTATGCTATGATTAAGTTTCTTTTATAGAACAATTTCTTGTTGGTTCTTGATGTTGCATGGAATAGCTAGTATTTCTGTATATATCTGTTAAAAGAATAAAAGATTACGTCCTTGAAATACCACCTATTTCTAATTAATTTGATTTACATTGGAGGATAGTTTCGCATTCAGTAATTTGGATGACTCTCACGGTCTCCTACATTGTACGACCATTCCATGTTCCTAAATTAGTGGTTGCTCTGGTTGTCGAAAGGGTCGTCAGCCACGTGACTCCCGATGGAACTCGGCTCTCACCATGAGGCGTCACAACTCGTCTAAATGAAGATCTTGCAACCCCCAGGGGCGAGTTTAAATGGTTTGAATTATCTTTTCTGGTTATCGTTGTTTTAGTGAGTTAGTTTTCTACGGGATGAAGTCGCAAACCCCATGCCCAACCCTCGTACATTATTCGGGCCCAAGCCCGATCGCGCATGATATTAATCATATTTTTACATCTGTCCAAGTGGAAATTTGGATAAACTAAATTCATCCTTGAAAACAATTTAAAGACAAATTTCCTATTTTTTAACAGAAATTTTAGCATTTTATTTACCATTATTTCACTGTATAAGTGGGAATATCATGAGGAAATGAGAAAGAGAAAAGTCATACAGCCAAGGAATAGATGTACAAGTATAGTGTTTAAAAGGAGGTATAACTCAGTCGAAAATATGGTCAATAAAGATTATTTTCCTGTTTAAAGAACTATCATAAATTATATCAGTCTTGGACACAACTATAAGAAGTCTCTACTGGATCCTGTTCTGGACCAGTTCTAATGATAACTCAACCCACTGAGTTGCATGAAATCTAGCTACCCAGCCGGAAGATCTATGTGGATCGAGAGGTCCTAGTGACATACAACGTTCTGTGATAAAATGCTACTATATCATAAACTTACATCTCTATATCTTCCCCACTCAGTCCCACAGTTGATAATTAGTGGTTGTTAAAAATGAGACTAAGACGACATTCATAAAATGTATTTAATGGTGACACGCACTAAATTGTCTTCTATGAGTCAAATCAAACATTAGCAAACCTAGTCAACACCGAAATGGTGCTTGTATCAGATGTGAGCAATTTTTGAGGATAACAAACTCGAAAACTGAGTCAATAATCACCTTCACATTTGAATATCCAGGTCTTACGAGCGTAGACCAGAATTGTTTTAAATGACTAGCCGTTTACTAGAAATTTTAGAGCCAGATTAACATCACATTGGCTTTGAAGATGGGCTAAATCGGTGTCGACTGCTCTGGCTCCCACTATACTGACATTACTGAACAAACTACATAGGTATACATGTAAACTTCCAATTATATATTGATATCAACAAATTCCCTTAAACAGTCTCGTTCATAAGCAAAAACGAAAAGAAATAAACATCTTATCATTCACTTTTCACACACACGTACACTGCATATACACAAATAATTATAAAGGATTATTAATATATTTGAAATGATACTTGAAATCCACTTCAAAGTTAGATGAAATATGATGATCTTGTATCTATGAGATCATTATGTGTATACGTATAAATGTGAGAGGAGATGTTACATAACTGAAATAACTCACATATTTACCTGCTTTTTTAAAGATATTCTCTTCGCTGTAAATGTATTTATTTCTAATATTGAAGAGTAATTTATGTAGTTATTGTTTGAAAAATATTTCTTGTTTATTTTTATGTAAAATAAAGTAAAAAGTTTATTCCAAATGAGGAATGTAACAATCAAGCAATTTATTATTCTCCTCTTCTTCATGTTAGATTACATATACTACTCACTAATTTCCAAATGTTATAGGTAAGTAATAAAATTAGGAAAGATGATTATTTATCGTGCTTGTTTAGTAAATTTTCAGTATATCAATGTTTATTGTCAATTTTGAATATTTATAATGCAACCAATTGGGCCAATACATTTAGTAACGTATATACTTCCCATCAGGTATTACACATCATCCGCTCCAAATATCGATCACAATAAATGCAGAGTATTTTAAGATAAACAAATTTGCTTACTTACAAGTAGTTCAATAAATAACACACAAAAAATGGAACCATTTCAAAAGTGAATTACCACTGACCAAAGATTATGGTCAGTATTAGTTTGCAAAGATAATCAATAACAACAAACTATATTTCATTCTAAAGGAATAAAATAATAGAGATCAAAATAAATTACTAGTGATTAAGG